TACATCTAAAACTCGATTAACCCCGAATGCTTATCCGTCTAATCATAACTCGCTCGTAAAATTTTCATCTCATTACCTTGCGAAGTAACGGCCTAATATCTTTCAGCGTGCTCTGAATGCTTTCGTTTTTTATCGTCGCCATTATAAAGCTATTTGCCGTTGTTGGTTCTTAAATTACGCCAAGTTTCAAACGGACTTTTAACATAAACGTTACCTTTTTCCTCAAAGGGTAATTGCGCATGAAATTAAACAAATCGCTCGCTAACAAAATAAAGGGTCTCGTACTTTGGAAATTGCAATTGTCTGAAGTTACGGGTTATGCATAATCGCCGGCAACGTGTTAAGATGCAGAGCAATAACGTTTACATCCTGACAGGCAACCCGCACTTTCCTGGTATAGTCGCCCCAAAATTATAAAAGAGTACTAAAACCGGAATAGACTTAACCGTGATTGCCTACTCAACGCTTGGGTTTTCATGGCATATGAAAATTATAATAAATATTCCTATACACTACATATTCTTTTTCTGATATCTGGTTTGTTCAGTTCTGTTTTGTGTCGAGTTGTTTAAGTTTATTTTATTATTCTTATAATTCTTGAATGTGTTGAATTTACTTAATGAACTATGTTAAATTTAGTTTGTATTTAATTTATATTGCTTATCCCTTGCCATTTATTGATTCGTAAATTGAACTATCGGCAGAGTTTGTTAGACATTGGCGTTGCCAACCATATTGGAAACTATTGTCTCACTATAAGGAGAACCGATAACTTACGAGCAACGACTCAGCTAGTTTATGGCTGTCCTACACAGCTAGACTAAATAATTCCAAAATTTAATCGAACAAAAAGGAAAAAATTAAAGTGCTTGTAAGTGCAATGTTTAAGATGGCGAATGCAGAAAAATAAATTGAATATTTCATTTCTGAATGTATCAAAAAAAGTCAAATTCGTTTTAAAAAAATGTGAGATTCTGATTCTGCAATGAGATATGTATACTTGTATTCAATTGCAGTGTATATATTTTTGGCGTGTAGTATAATAGTTAATTATTAGGTAAATGAGTTATTCTACACGCACGCTAATTTTAGCTAATTTTACTGGTCACTTATGTCTAGTAACTGACTAATACAGTGTTTTATCCATTTGTATTATACCGGGCGACACAATATGCCGAAAATACTCAGTTACAGTTTCCGATGGGATGGATTTATTTGAAATGGGGATAGTTTAGTATAGACATAATACGCATAGTATGCACATAGTAAGCATTTAAAATATATATATATATATATATATATATATATATATATATATATATATATATATATATATATATATATATATATATATATATATATATATATATATATATATATATATATATATATATATATATATATATGTAGATATAACATTCTCGGTTTGAGCGGAATTGACGGCAACTGTTGAAATCTAAAGGGCACCCTGTATTTTTTTAATAGATTTTTGCATTCAGTAGACCGGATCTGCCTTTTAAATCCATAAATATTTAATTTTAATTCTGTATTTTAAACTCTATAAACTTCGTAGTTCCATTTTCTTACTCAGTGTTTAAACACCAAATAAAAACAATTAAAATTTTAAGCTCGTTCATTGAAAACGCATATAACGACTCTGTAATTGTTTTATATTTTTTATTGAATAATGTACCCACTAATTGGTTGTATTAGTTACTCACTAGCAAGTTGCATGTGACTATTATTCTATGACAAATTGTCGCACAACCAAAAAATATCTGAAAATGGTTAAAGTAATATTTTAGTTTTTGTTTTTTTGCAATCGTGGAAAAAGTTTTCTATGCAACACGTTTGTAAGTGACTCTTTCCAAAGCATTGTTGCCCTATATGCTGCAGAGTCTTGTTATAAAATTTTTCGTTTCATTTTTTATTCAAAACTTTCAAACTCGTCGGATTTCTTATAATTTAATCGGCGCGTCTCTGAAAATGCGCCCGCTTTTCTATAAAAACTAACGTATTTCCCGTCTTTACAGGTGAGCATATTACGAAATAAACGTCGAAGTAGGTGAGCCATCCCGCGCTTTGAAACGCAATATTTTCACGAAGCGCCAAGCAATCTAAATCGGTTTAAATTACGGGGTCACGGAATATGGTGACAGTGCATTATTTACTGAGTCACGGTGCGCCGCTTTCACCGACCTCCAACAATGAGAGGGCAATTTTCGAATTTATCTCAATTAGAAATCCATCTATTGACACAGCCGAGTTGGTCGCGCGGTCAATTTCCTTGAGTATTTCCTCTAGGGCATGGCGGTTTTGGAAGTCAGGTTAATGGGAAATTGATGGGATGGGAAAATATACTGTCGTCGCGCCGGTATCAAATGCGGGACAAAACGATCGAAATCGTAGAGAGGGCGGAGGCCTATCAAATTTCCCGCCAACAATATGAACCTTGTTAGAAAGTTCAAATGAAAAAAAAATAAGTGATGCATTTTTTTTATTCGGACGCAGTTTTTGCAAAACACACTAACACAAAAATCGCAAAAATTATATATTTTTAATTCATTCATCAAAAAGGTACAGAAAAATTGAAACTTTGCACTTTCGGCGTCGGGACTCGTAAACGTCCTAAGGTAACTTTTTTTTTAGGTTTAGTTTAAAGAAAAAGTGAAATGATTTCCAAACTCTTAAGGCGGCTACACACGATCCGACAGGCCTGTCAGTTCAAATTAAAGCCTGAAGACCAGTCATCTGAACGTGTTTATGTTCCAGTCGAACTGTCAGTTAAGACTGTTCAGGCGGACGCCCCCTTTTTTCAACCAATCTTTACACCATGCCGTAGTTTTTTTTTTATTTCTTTTTGTATCATATTCGCCTGAACAGGTGACAGGTGGTCAGTCTATCAGGCGACCGGTCTTTAGGCGGACTGTTCAGTTCGAACTGACAAGCCTGCCAGATCGTGGTTTAAAGATATTTTGTCGCTTCAATGGAGGTTGGGTCCAAGCTTCAGAGAGCAAAATTATTTATGATAGGTAGCAAGTTTGAAAAAAAAAATTATAGATAATACGACGGCTTGTGAATCTTACAAAACCTTTCGTTAAGTTAGATTTTGTAGATAATTCTAATAATGACAATAATGTATTTAATTTAAATTCATACATAGTTATATACAGTGTATATACAATAGTTATATACAGTGTATATTATCGAAAAGCCTACATTATTCCCGTTCCAATATCAATTCTAAAACTGACCAAAATAGTCATGGGTCTTTCTTGAAGATTTGTATCTGCTTTTAACTTCAGTGAGAATGATCCAATTTAGGAAATTTGCAACAAAAATAGACAACTCTCCAATAGCCTACTAGCCTAACTTTAAAATAACAGTTATTGAAGGTGACAAATTTTAAGGTTATTGAGTTATATTTTTAATTACTGTACACAACTATATATTTTTGATAAACCACATTGTATACTGTCGATATAGTTAATAGTGTGCAGATGTCCATTTAAAAAGATGAAGTAGCATTCAAGAAATTTTTGAATTGACCTCTTATATTGATTCTGAAAGCGACACTGAATTGCAATTATAAATTAAAGAGGAATATTTTCTTATAGGGCGTGTATCTTTAAAACGAAAATATGGGTCAGCTTGGATATGCGTGCAGGAACTTGCGAAGTAACTTGAACTTTGGCTCCATAAAGACCACTAATTGAAACTAATTAAAACTCAATTTTGCGTATCACATTCATACTTATTGCTATTTGGTTATGCAATACTATGCAATGCAAAATTATTATGTTGCCTGTTTAGCGGTTTAGAGGGTTTAGAAATGCAATTGAATTGAATATTGAGGTTTAATAATTAAACTTTTGCGGTATTATAGAAAAGTTGGACAAGATTGTGCCTTCTATACCATTCTATATATTAGTTTGGAAATTGGATCCGATAATTTTCAAGTTTCTTCGTTGCCAGAAAATTTTCCAGTACTGTTACGAATTTTTCGTAGCATGATAATTTATGTTGGTAGATTCCTAAACACCTTTGGATTGATAGAAGCTCTTTGTTTTTGAGGAAACTTATATTCGCTTCTTCCTACGGGAAAAATTATTTTAGACTGCACTTATTATTATTTACGTTATTAGTTCATTCACGTTAGTTGGTGCATGCACCTTTTGACATAATATTTCGGGATATGTATCAGATGATGAATAAAAATAGAAATCTGCCTTATCCTGAGATGGTTTTTTGCGATAATTTGGAAAAATTTGATTAAAACGTCGCGATTTTTGAACGAGTTGTGAGATTAGATTGGAATAATTGACAAAGCGGCTTGATAAATTTAATCACCGGATGCTGGCTTATAATGGCAATATATTTGATTTCCATGTGTGTTTTTTTTATTCGTTAGAAATATTTATAATAGATGATTCAAAATTTTGTGGACTAATTCCAATTTATCCAACTTGTCAATGCAATAGTTTGGGTATATTCCGTGTTACGACCAAAGTGTTGAAAATATGACAGATTTATTTCATCAGTTTTTAAATAAACCTTTTATTTTGCAGTTGTGCTTAATAGCGTACCACCAAACATGACGTTTGCTTTGCCTAAAATATTAAAAATCTAGATCAATTTATCAAATAGGTATTCTTAAACTTGATTTTTTTTCAAATTAGTAGCATTTTTTTAAAATAATTTTCTTTCTGTTAAACTTTAAGTAAATAAAGTTCACATGTTCTACACAGTGTGAGAGGAGGGTATTAGCTTTAAACATTTTTTTCCTTGCTACTTTTAAGGCCCAACTAACTGATGTTGTAAAATTAATAAGTTGATCGAGAAATGTAACCATGGAACATATCAAAGCCAATCATAATATGACCTTGATGACGTTGGATACGTTTTCTGTTCTTTTAACTGATAAGTTTTCAAGAGCCATTATAGCCAGATTATATATAAAAACGCAATTGATCATAATTCTAGAGTTTATGTGTTATAATTTACATGTGTATAACTTTTGCTCCCATCTTCTCCTTTAACAGCTTTCCTAGGTCCGTATGAACATTCTCGAACATTGCTAAAGTTCTTTCTTGAATATCTGCTCTCGCAAGCCTTATTGTACCAGCCAAATTTTCTGCCTGAAAATTTAAACAAATTTTATCTGTTTTGATTTAAAAATCGTATAGTGCCATTATTATAAAGGATCTGATTATAAAATTGAATTTCTTTTGGAAAATGGATTTAACTTTTGGTTAGTTTGGTTTGCTTTAGTAGCTGTCAGTGGAAAACGCTTTTGTGGATTATTTACTTTCATCACTGGCACGTAATTAGTGAAGTGAAATCCAAACAAGTTTTTTGGACATAAACCGCATTGGTTGGTTGGCTACATTCAAACTTGTTCAAACTCCTTTACTTCGTTACGTAATACTAAGAGCTAAACTTATTATTATTTTCTTGTTCTGACAATATTTTACTGTCTATACACGATTTGTCAAAATCCTATTTTTTTTTTTACAAAAATTGTGTCGCATTCGAAAGACTACTGACCACAATCTGTTTTTTTTTATCTACGAAATTTTCATTTTTCGAAAATGCCACTTTGGTTGCTTAACTTTGTTACGCCAGATGGTTTTTTGAAAGTGTCGATCGTGTTTTATCTACACTTCTTCGCACGTCTGAGATCGGGGTTCGTTGTTAAAATGATTGTCGATCCCTTATTCCAACTAACCAATCTATTCCTCGCCGCACTATCCAAGACCTTTTCCCAAAACACACGAGCTTGCGCGTAGTTATCTTCGTCGTAGAAATTGTCGTAATAATCTTCCATGCCTTGTATATCGAAGGGAATTGGGTACGCCTTTTTTACGTTCGGATCTACGTCAGGGCCGCCGAAACTGTTGGGATGGTAGTTAGGAGCACCTCCTTGATTATTGATGGCCATAAAACCGTCTCGTTGAAAATTTTGAACCTAAAAAACAAATTTCGCTTGGTTCGCAGATGTGGTTTTATGAAACAGTTCAACATTTCAAGTTTAATAATGCACGCTGATAATTGCCACAAATATATAACAATTACATTTGACGAACAACAAATGATAGTCATCGTCTTTAATGTTATCCAGTTAAAAGTTTGCTTTTGATATTTTAAGAATTTTTAAATATTTGTATCATTTGCTTCGCGATTAACCTAAATGAAAAATCAAAGAAACAAACATGTAGCCATATTTATTTGGTGACTATTCTGTAATATATCGATAGATAAACGAAATAAAAATCTTCTGGTATCAATGATAAGTAATAGGAAACATATTTCAAGATACATTCTCTCTTATGAAAAATGATTTTCTATTGATTGTGTTTTTGTTAACGCAAGATGATTTATAGAAGTTTTTTAAATTTACTCCTGTATGTTATATATTATATTAGGTACAACAGGATCTACGTTTTCATTTTGACTGCCCATAGTTCAAAATCATGTAATAGTTGAAAGTTCCATGAATATTTCACCTCCTTGTTTCGAAACCTAACCAACCACACGTGAATATGTCATTTTAAAAGTAGCAGTTGCATAATTCGTTAAATAATAAATATTATCGCAGCATCCGGCGCAAATATGATATACAGCGTATATTCATTATTTATTCTGCTGTCCCAATGGAAATCCCATATGTTTTTAGGGGAATATAATGCACACGAAAATAGTAGTCGGACCAATTACACAGTTTGTAAAATTAAATAATTGTCAACAATTTGGGATCACGTACAGTGAGAACTTTCAACTCAAAGCAACTTGTGTTAATTAGAAACGATAGCAAAAAGGATACAAAAAATTGCATATAATATGTAATATAAGTTGAGAAATGTTGAGTTAAATTTAAATGGATGTCTAGAGCGGTTTCCGGTGAAGGTTTCAAAATGAATTTTTTTTCTAAATCTTTAAAGTTAACTAACTAATGCAAAACTATTTACAAAAAGAATGACTTCAACAACTATTTCGGACTAAAATACTCAAGGCAGAAACATTTATTGCCACTCGCATTTGCAATGAATTCAGAACTGAAATAAAAACTGAAAGTAGTAGTTTCATCGCCCATGTTTTGCATGGGAATCTCTTTAAGATACCAAGTTTATATGGTAAAGTGTAATTATTGTAACGTAGATGCGTTCTGTTGTGTACGAGACTTAACATAGGATGTGTATTTTTAATATCAGTAATTATATATTATATATTCTTTTGCTGGTTAATTTTAAAACCGTTTTTTTTTTCAAGGTTTTTAAATATACAAATACTTAAAAAAACATACAAAGAAAGGAGTTATTTAAATAACTGTCTTTTAATTTTACACATCATATTTCTTTCGTGTATCTGCTGTAGAGAATAAGTAACTATTTTTTAAGTAACATAAAACTCAATAATTTGTGTTTCTGTATAATTGCGGCTGTTTTTTAGAAAATTTATAAATTGCTTGTGCGTTCCAAATCAAATATTTTATTTTCAAGGGCGATAAAAACAGAAGGGAAATATTTTGTAGTTATTACCGTATTCAATGTCCTATTAACCGAGAGTTGTTGATAGTTAACTCCGAGTCGATACCGGTGCGAATCCTGATATGAAAAAAGCCTTCCTTGTAATAACCGATCAAGTGATGGCCCTATCCCCGGTGGCATATTATTGGGATTGAAGGCTATTTGCTCCACGTCGGCATAGTAATTGGTAGGGTTCCGATTTAAGACAAGTTTGCCAACTTTGATTAGCGGAAACTCGGCGTGTGGCCATGTCTATTAAAATCATTAAAGTTATCTTCCAATGACGAAAACGAAGAGCGTGTTTGGTTAGCGTACCTTTGTGATATCGAAAGGATTGAATCCGACCGACCTGGCTTGTTCTGCGGTCATGACTTGTACGTAAAATGTCCACGTGGGAAAATTATGTTCAGCAATAGCGTTGTACAAGTCTCTTAAAGCGTAATCAGGATCTTTGCCCGCTAGTGTTTCGGCCACTGAGGGCTGAAGGTTTTTTATTCCTGCAATATTTATTATTGCAGCTTACGGATTATACATGCAAAAATAAATATACACGGTGTTCCTTAGGCCAAACGACTAGAAAAACCCAAGAAGATTTTTTGTATAAATGACGAGATAGTCTAATGTTCACCCAAAAAAATATTAGTGAAGTACCATTCCTTTCTTTGCAATACAAATTGCCGACGGACGCCACTGATAGAAATTAAAAAAAAAGTGTTGTGCACCTGAAAGTGATGCAATTTCACGAATCACAAACCGCGTACGACATTCTAGATGGTAAAAACAAAGTTTGCGAAATAAGTGCATTGCAAATTTTAAAATTTTAAAACAAGTCGAGGATTGTTCATATACACCACCAATTGCGATTCATTTTAGGAGTATTTTCGTTTTTTTCCGAATATATGATATATTTGAAATATTTTTTTATTAATCTAATTTTATTTTAATTTAATTGATAAATGTATGTATGCAAAATGCGGGAACAATGTGATTGTTCCATTTTCACCACTCTGCTGATTTTAAAGTAAAGCACAACATGAGGATCGTAAATTTTTGAAAATTTTCGCTGTTTTCGTTTTTTTTTACAGGGTACATATTACTTCGTTTGCTCGTCATTGTGTGCATAAGAATGTGATCATATATTTTCATTTCGGACCGGAATTGCCTCCAACACGGTTCGTAACTGGTGGATGTTTTTTTTTACTTTTTAGTTTTAAGGTTAGATTGGACGCGCCCAATCAAAAAAGTGTATAAAAAGTCGTTTTAAATATGATGGTAAAGTTCGATTGAATATTTTGGTTAATTTTACCTTGATCTGTTTTGTAAATAAATTTGCACCATGTCACTTGATGATCCTTGTTAATAAGTGAAAAGGTGTGAGATCCGTATCCATTCATGTGCCGGTAACCGTCAGGTATTCCTCTATCGGAGAAAAGAAACATAACCTAAAACATTATAAACAAAATACATTGACAAATGAAATACAAAACTTCGTATACGAAATATTTTCAAGGTGACTAACAGAAACACTAGCAACAACAAAAAAAATCTCTAAAGAGGCAACGGTTTTACCATTAAAATAATAATCAATTATATACAATTGTTAACATAAAAAAATTATATGCGTGATGAATGAAGAACCAGAAAAAAATCACAAATTTACAACCAAACGCTCAAATTTTAGATTAATTAATAATAATTAAATTTCAAAATGATCGAAATATGAAATTTTAATAATCAAATAATACATGATAATAAAGAATTTGTTTTATTCTTATTTTTGCTTTCACCATTGCCGTCCACTTAAAACTTGATACTGTAAATGGTTCTAAACAAAAAATTGAGCCTAAGATCCCCTTCATAAACTTCATGAAACCGCTCCTTTATCATGCCGAAGCTCTTCATTTGACAGACACGATCATGAGAAGGATGAGCCACCCATTTAAAATTACTCTAGTTCAAGCAGTAGATACCTAGATAAAATGAATAGACTTTATGGGACATTAACGAGTGCCGACATCCCCATTTTGCCTGTTAATGCTAAGGCATATATATTAGAATCGATAATTTGTTCACCTGGTGAGCACTCATTGGAGTTAAAGACAAATAGTCCCAAAACATATCCCAATCTCTCAGGTGAGTAACTGGGTTTCGCTTTTGACTGTGAATAAACATCGGGAACAGTATGGGATCTCTCATAAAAAAAATCGGTGTATTATTACCGACCAAATCCCAAATGCCGTCCTCGGCGTAAAATTTCACAGCGAATCCCCTTGGATCTCTGACGCTATCGGCCGATCCTAAGTTTCCTGCCACCGTAGAAAATCTAAAATATATATGTAATTTTAAATAAATTTAAGCAAATATTTTTCTAATTCGGAGATTAATTTTGTTATATCATAACAATTGACGAAGTATTGAAGAGAACATTGTAAACATATTGGTTTATAGCTCAAGATTGTAAAGCGATTATACCAACACTTTGATATCAGATGACGAGATTATATTTTAAACCAATATTTGAGGGATTCTAGAAGATTAGCTGGTATTGGGAACGCCCTTGAAAATACGCATTGTTAGCCGATCTCAAAATATTTTGTGATATTATGGATCAAAATATATATATATATATATATATATATATATATATATATATATATATATATATATATATATATATATATATATATATATATATATATATATATATATATATATATATATATATATATATATATATATATATGTATGTCACTATATTCCGGGATATCATCCGTTCGCTCGTTGAACTCCGACTGGAATCTTGCAAATCCTGCATCCGACTGGAATCCTGCAGACGTTTCGCCAAAATCTCACTTGGCATCTTCAATGCTCGCGCTCCTAAAACACTTCGAACACTGGGAGCTGTTTTCGGAGCGCGAGCATTGAAGATGCCAAGTGAGATTTTGGCGAAACGTCTGCAGGATTCCAGTCGGATGCAGGATTTGCAGGATTCCAGTCGGAGTTCAACGAGCGAACGGATGATATCCCGGAATATAGTGTCATCACATTTTTCCATCGGTGAATCAATACGTGAGAATATATATGCATATGCATTAATGCTTAAATTTGTGTCAAAACTCAACTTCATTGGCTTCATATCTATTTGGTAAAGAAAACTAGGAAAATTTTTAATAGTATTGGCTAGGAAGTGCTTCCGTATAACTTATAAATGCCTAAGTTATAAGTAGGCATTAATTTAACATTCTTATAAACTGCTAATATGAATTTCTTTTTAAATTTTTTTTAAATCAGATGGCATTTTAGTGCTCTATCATTTTCCAATAGTAACCATACAAAAAGTTCTTCTATTCTACTTTAGAGTGCTATAGTCGAATGACGTATTTGTCACAGAAATGAATGTTTTGTCATTTGTACGTTCCTGGCAATAACATTTTATTAAGTTGTTATTCAGCCAATTACCCATCTAGGAAACTTTTATATATGAAAAACCTGTCATGTAAAAAAAAACGAACAGTGGTTTTGTTACGTTTTCGTGGCGTTTGGAGATGCAATATATTATAGGTAATATTATATGTTCGTGTTATTGGTTTCATGTGTTGTACAGTCTACTAAACATCATATATCTACTAATTTTTTCTTCCCACCATAAAAATATTTTTCAGTCAAATTGATTTTGTTTTTACACATCACAAATTGTATGTAGAATAGACGGTGTGTTTATTATTCGCCAGCGAATGTGTACTACCTGACGGCGATTGGAGTTTGTTTTCCAATTTCCGCGAAAACATTGGCACTGGTGTACTGTGTGATGTCATCCGTTACTTCAAAATAACCGAACGCTCCGGCACCTTTTGCGTGCACAACCCGTTCCGGAATCCTTTCTCTATGAAAATGACCCAATTGATCCAGAAGGTTGTAATCAGCAAGTGGGATGGGCCCGTATTCGCCTATTGTCAAACTAGAGCGTTGATTGATCAAAGAAACTCCCGCTTGGCTGTTGGCCGGACCTATGTTTTCCTGGAATGGATAGTGAATAGCGATACGGAATACCAATTTACTTGGAGTATATTGTTACATGTTTTTTTTTTGTTTTCGTTTTTTACTAAACTATAAGTGATCGCCCATCAAATAGTTTATTTACGCATTTTTATCATTTGCTATATAACAAACATCTTGCGGACCTAGTGCCCTAACAAATTTGTAGTTATTGTAGAAATACTAGAAAAGCACTGTAATCACTGAAGTGAACTAACTACTTGACTTCACTTATTTTATTGTTGTAAATTATTGTAGAGAAGGTAAGCATTCAAATGGTGAATGAACCCTTTAATTATTTTTATTTAAGGTTACCAAACTATAAAATGATACTATTTCAATGTATGTATATATTTATATAATTTAGATATTCTTTAGAATGACTAACGAATTCAGGTACCTAATGTATGAAATGCTTTTTGTCTATTTCTTTTATATTCTTTATCCTGGAATTTCAATACCTAGGATTTTTATAGAAAGACTTTGTAATATTGCCTTTGTAAAGTTGCAGGTGGATTCGAATTAATGCAGGAGGTCATTGATTGAGTTTGTTGAATAAAAAAAATTCGAAACTAGAAGAACTCAGGAAGAACTACTTTTTCGTTAATGTGAGTTAGTGTTTGCTCCTTTTCTCATTTCTTATAAGTAGATTAATTTGGCCTAGTATAAATTAGTTTTGCCTGAAATGGGGTTTGACTGACAACAGGTTAATCCGAGTAAAGAACTTAGCGTTTAGAATATCTGAAAGGAAAAGGCGAATTAATATTAAACAAATTAACTCCATTTTCCATTTATCTGTGGCCCCTAGCCAGTGTAATCATAACCATGTCCTGTCACGTTTACGCATAATATTCGATATATTTCCAGTTATCAAATCGGTATTCCATCAAATAGTTTTCGGCATTCTATATATGACATGAGTACCATATATCTAATAAATTATGTTTGTTTCAAAGTAAGTTAATTTATTGTTGTTATTTTTATTTTATTAGCATTATATAATGTTTTTCTCACTGTTATTAGCCTATTACGATGCAATATTTATTTTCCGCATTATTTATTTTTTATTATTTTTTTTATTTTAATGTTTTTATCTCATCGATCTCAGTTTAAAAGAAAGAAATGACAGATTTACCATTGATTTTTTGTAATTTTTTCACATCATTTTTCCTCTTCTCAAAAATCCAATTGTTCCAATTTTGATGTCATTTTGTTGAGGCAGCAAAATAATAATAGTAATAATATAATCGAAAGAAATTTGGGAATATTATTAATTTCAACTCGAGCTCTTTACCATCTAATGACGGTTTTCTGGGCGGCGTCGCATGTTATAAATTTCGGTTTAATTTGTCAAACTCTCAAAAAAATAATTAATGACGCCGAACCTCACACCGTAATTAATATACAAAGCAACAATTAATAGTGGCAAAAATTTTCATATGGTTTTAAGCTTTTGAGCTTTTTTCCAGGCTAAGTGCCTTAAATTCGGTAATTTCTTGGTAGATCGGCCGACAAAGAATATATATCAGCGCGGTCGACGAATAAAAACGGCAAATATAAAAATTGTGGGCCCCGTAAAATCTCTCACCCGTCCGTAACTAAAGCGATTAAAAATATTCTCCCGGCGTGAAAAATCACGCCAGCGCGAAAAAGAGAGGAAACAAAACGCCGAAGAGTTTGACCTTTTCAGGTCCTTCCTGGGGTCAGTTCGTGGACTCATTTACTACCCAGCAATGACTGGAATGCAATATAGATAAATCGTGGCGGTTTGAGGCGGTTAGATGCAAAACAGCAACGGCGAAACACGATTTATTAAATCGGATAGCGACGTGTTACGGTGTTGTCTTCCTTTCTGATGGTGCCAATGAGAAATTGATTGACGAGGAAAATAATTAAATTAATATCTAAAATAGATGTATCTGTTTATATAGGTACATTCTGGTAGGAACAAGTAGTACATTTAAAATTTGGAACTGATGTTTTTGTCACTTGAGAATGTGATCTCTATATAAACAGTAAGAGTATGGGCTTCCATGTCAATAAATGCCGTACGGATCCCTTTATGAACAAAATATCGATAATTTCTTGAGTTTGACGTAAATTTTCGGATTTACACATGATTAAAGAAATTTGAATTTGAAAGCACAAATCCATCTAAAAGGCGTTTATCATCCACTGTTTTCAGTAAGTTTGACACGTGATCAAACGGTCTGCAGTCCAACTATGACGTCACGACTGGAGTCTATAGATTATAGTATGAACTCTGAACTCATGTTGTAATGGTTTTGCTGGTGGGTACTTTGAATCACTCTAATCGTTTATTCTTCGAAGTGGTTGGCATTAATTACTAAATTATGAAACTTTATTTAAATGTTGTGTTGGCATATGGTTGAAGTAATGTATATAAGCGGCAAGAGAAAGTTTATTTTTTGTAAAAATAAAGTAATATATAGATGTAATTTTATGAAAATATTTCCACCTAATAATGAAAATTGTTAACTTGATTTTATCATTTGTTTGACATGATGATGTTGTTTGTGGTTTCAAGAAAAATTATTCAAATGCCGAATTGCAGTCTTTTTGAAAATTATACTCCTGAAGTATATATATTATAATTTGTATGCGCTTTTTTGGGATATTTTTAAAGAAGTTCAAGTGACATGTCTTTTATTTTTTTACAAATATGTAAAGAAAATGTCGTTTGGTTATCAAATCATAATATGTAGATAATTTCAGCAAGAATTATGTATATGAGCAAATTTGCCTCACTTCTATCACTATTTGGCCATTTTACTTTAGATCAAGAACATCCAGTGTCTCGCATGAGCAAGTTGAAAAGCTAGTCAACACTGTTGTGAGTTTAGGGCCAAGGCCAATTTTATTGAGTAAATTGATCCATTAATTATCAAATAGAAAATCGATATAACCACTTGTGCTAACATTATTTAAAATTAATATCACGGAAAAACTTATTTATTGGGTACACAAGGAAACCTAAAATGGCCTAAAAATACGAGCAACAATTAAACATGATGAAGTAGTTAGATACAGGCTGTTCTGTTTAAAAAAACTGAGAAAAATTAATTCAAAATTCGTCACAGCTAGTAAAACTTTAGGAAATCTCCTGTGTAAAATAATTACTTATTTGCATTAGTTATCGCTTTACCTAAGGTCTATGTTTGATATTATAAAGGTTGTAGGAAAACCATATTTTAAAAATATTTTCCTGATCTTATACACCATTTATTAAAACAATTTTCGAAAATGGTGGTAGATAAAGTAAATAAGTAAATAACAAATAAAATAAATATAAGTAATAGAAGTATAAAAGTAAGTAATTTTCTGCTACCTAATAAATTTTCGCATTTATGTATTACAAAATTAAGTATTGTAATTTGTAATTTTTTTTTCTATTTTTTATTTGCTTAATATCTGCGAACTTACCTTATTATTTTCGTACCATTCTCCCAGTTGATTGGCAGCTTTGTCTCTTTTAGACATTTTCTAAAACGTCGCGAAAAACTCGCAAAATAGCTTTGTGGCGGGTTAAATAAACGTTTTGTTTACGAAAGCTGTAGGATCCGCATATTTATAGCGAAACACGGGAGTTGTTTTGCACCGATTGTAAATATTGATTCGATTGCCGGATTTTGAGGTTACCGCCGGATTTGATAACTCGGCTCTCCACATGGTTTTAATAAATATTAAATAAAGTGCATTTTTGCACGCGTTCCAAGGGCGCCAAGAGGTTTTGGTTTGTCCGAGGCTCAGAAAACCGCTCGCCACGTTGATACCGGGTTTTGTTATCGCGTTTCTGGGATGTCACACTAGTGCACTCAGCGCCTGGAATCGTCCGCAGAATTTCAATTATGGGAAATTTCCAAACGGGATGGAATGCAAATATTGTCCACCATCCCAGGGTGTTGGTTCGAAGTTTGCGAGTCACGAAGAAAAAAAGTTATCATTAGTTTTAAGAAAAAAATCCTTGAGGTCAAAAATAATTGTCCTTCGAAAATCATATTCTCCTTCGTGATTTGCAATGCATGTATATGTTAAAGTATATTGGCTTTTGATAAAAAATCTGGGATAATAACATAACCTTTGAAAATAGGCTTAAGGAAAGTATTCTACGATCCAAAAGTGTACAAGGTGTTTCATTTGGAAAAATGTACTTTTTCTACTCTAAAAATAATGGAATCTGTTATTAAATATTTTACATCCTGTATGCGATAAATAAATTATCAATAGTCCATCACCAATATCTGTAAAATTTTGAAAAAAAAAATCAATATATTTCTGAAACAATTAAAATTAGGTAAGAAACATGTAAAATTTCTTCAGAAATTCTTAAAATATATATAATAATATAATTTAAAAGATAGAGGATGTTAATGGGAACTTCCGGAGACTATGAAAATATCTTTAAATGAAAGGAAATCTCGAATAACTGTTAAGTCCCAGAATTTCAAAGGTGTAAGTTTTTCCATAAACTTTTAACGCACGGCTACGTTGAGAAACCATCTTAAATAACACTATATAATGATTTTAATTTTAAATGAATATCTACTCACTACTGCACCTAATCCCGGTAGAGAAATAAAAGCAGATAGTAAGAGTAATTTTTATTTAATATGTAATATTTAGATTCTAAATAGATAAGTACAGAAAAACTACGATTCAATTTTCATTTATTTAACACAAACAAAATTTAAAGAATTTTTGCGAAACACCATTTCAACATTTTGAAAATTGATAATTACCTTTTAATCTTTATACTGTTTGTTGACAATGTTTGGAAGCACCGTGCGGTACAAATTGTGTTTTATGTCAGTATGCTCAATTCAGAGTATGTAAAAAATATTTGTTATAATTTACAAAAAACAGATTTAAGTCTTATTTTATTGGTTAATTGAAAATGAATAATTAAAAAAAAAACTAAAATCAAATCAGTGCCAGTAAAATACATGTTTTTGAATAACAAAATCTTAGAAATTAGTAGGTTTATGTGTGTGTGTGTGTGTGTGTGTGTGTGTGTGTGTGTGTGTGTGTGTGCGTGTGTGCGTGTGTGCGTGTGTGCGTGTGTGCGTGTGTGCGTGTGTGCGTGTGTGCGTGTGTGCGTGTGTGCGTGTGTGCGTGCGTGCGTGCGTGCGTGCGTGCGTGGGTGTGTGTGTGTGTGTGTGTGTGTGTGTGTGTTTTTTGTTACTGTGTTACCAAGAATTTATAATTTGTTCTTTGCAAGAGAGTTTTAAAAATAAAACTAAGTAACTTATTGACCTAATCAGTCGGCGGAATTTATAAAATTCTCTACGCGGTATACAAAAATCGGACTGTAAAATTCAAGTTTTGATATCTTGTAGAATAAAAAAAAACATCGCCAGATGCTGGCTTAATATCGCAGAGACCGTATCTTGGATTTTGTACAAGCAAGCCATCAATTAAAAACCGGCCGTAAAATTTTAAAATTTGGTGCCATACGAAATAAAGGTCGTATCGGTACTGGGAAGGTACTAATTATGTAGGCCGAATGAACCCAGGTACGCACTTAATGTTATCAATATTTTCCAATCTAACTATGTTAATTTTCTTTTAGTAAATTACCCGCCAAGATTTCTATCTGGTCTAAGTTCGGTAACTAGCATAATGCAATTATTATCCGTTGCATTTAATGAGCAGCTAAAATCTACATCGGCCAGATGCGCGAACCTTTGCCAGCCCATTATTTTCGATACGGGAGAGCTCATTAGGTTTTTTTCTTTTACTTTTACGTCGGCGTCCCGATATAAGGGCGAATTACCTTTTGATCTGAAAACAATGCAATTCAATAACTCCTCCAAATATATGAGACGTAATTTGGCAGGCAACCATTTTGCATGTTCTGCGGAATTAACTTTAGTCTCGACTTTAGCTGATATAATAAAATTCCTTCTCATGCCAATTATGGCTTTTCCTACACCACATGTATTTATATAAGATATGTATAGTGTATATCAAAAAAAATATAAGCATTAATTCGCAACAAAACAAATAAAAAAATAAGAAAAAGTAACCACAATAAAAGTGAAATTGGGTAGTGAATGATAAATTAACCAGCCTTTTAAATTATTTTTTTTACAACGTTTATTCTTAAACTAAATTGGCAGCATGACTTCTGTGACAATGTCTGTGACAAATCAACACATTTAGAACAATTATTTTTTATAGCATTTCCGGTGCTTTAGTCATGGGTTTGAGAGATAACGGAAGTTTTAGGTAGATTTTATCCACGGATAGTATTTGGAAGTTTGTCGGTTGTGATGATCAAGTCGCACGTCACTCAATGAACGTATTCATGCTCTTGTGCAAAAATGTACCCCTGGCCTTAGCAAAATTATACTATATAAACGTTGATAAACTTCTTCAGTCACTCGTGTATTAAGCAAACCACTATTGCCATTTATTATTATTAAGAACATTTTGCTTGTAGTGGATGATTTTCTCCTTTTCCTGTAGCAATTCACGTTGTCATGTTTTCAACTATCTATTATAAATACTCAAACTGCAATATATTTTTTTTAGTTCATTTTGTTTTCTTCAGTTCATCATATTTTCGCCGTGTAGGTCGAACAGAACTTTCCTTGCGTAAGAATCTGATAGCCCGACTTTTATTAATTTATCTCATAATAATAATAATAATAATTATAATAATAATAATAAACTTAAGTATTAATATTTATTCGCCACAACGTTTGTTTTATAAATTAATATGACAGCATTGCGAAATTGCTAATAATAACTGAAGTAACTAGCAGTGGACATATAAGGTAAATTGTTTTACTATAAAATTAACTTGAAAATTTTAAATTTACCATAAAATTATCTCTAGAATATGTTGTCTTCCTCTATTGAGATGCCGGAAAACTTTAAATGTTATATTGCGTCACACAAAAGTGGGTACCTTTTATCGCCTTTTAAAGTATGTACTAATAATGACATAAAAAAATCTCATTCGGCTTTTAATGCCCAGCTTTAGCTAACCACTGCAACACTCTACGATTTAAATTGGAAAATACGCCGGCGGTCTAGACTTGCCTTGCCGGTATATGGGCGTATAGTTGAGGACAAAAATTAAAGAAAGATAAGTAGGCAGTTCTTAATTAAATTTTTCCAACATGCATGTATGACTTTAAAAGCCTACCTAAGGGGTGGGTCGGATTATTAAAATGTATACTGAATTTACATTTAAGTTTTTTTGTTATTTTCATGCAAATATCGCATTACGATTTTAAAAAAATACGGATTTGTCCTAATCGGAATTTTTTTCGAAAGCTACCAAACAATATTTTTAAATTTTATTCCTGCTTAAGGAACCAACTGGGAAGCAATACTCGTCCAGTGAATTCTAAGCTGAAATTTAAATTTTAAACACTGATGATATTTTGGTGTTTGTCAATTCTTATGGCCACGTCAAACATCGGTCAGTAGATTTATTTGCGATATTTTGCAAAAATGTAGCCGCATGGTATACAGTAGTTTACCACTTAATCGAAAACACCCATTAAAAGTATCGACATTAGTATATTATGCAACAAGTGTGGTAAACGGCGTTTGACTCACGAGTTTATTTGACACGAGCGGAGCGAGTATTTAATAAACGAATGAGTTAAAAAGTTTACCAAACGTGTTGCATACTATACTTTTTCTAGGACCTTTAGTTTTTGCGTACATTTTCGCAAAACACGAATACATTCACTGACATGACCGTCAGAATTAACAAACGTCAAAATTCAAAGCGTGGGAAATATCTCCGAAAACATCCGATTGCTCCCAAATGCGTGCGGTAAAATCCCGGATATGCTCGAAGTGGCTCGGATTCGTGGGAAACGAAACTGACGTGGTAAAGTGACGCTCCCGCATGCTAGATCGGTGAGTAGTTGTATTGTTTTTAAATAGGAATTAATTGTCCTTTTTGCACCCACGAACCACTCTGAATCATTGCTAGAAAATTCGAAATCGATCTTGGCTCTTCTTAAACTAATCCACTGGATAACTGTATAATAATGTTATAATTAGGTGCTTGTTCTAATGATTACGATAACCCTTGTGTTGGTTGGTCCGCAAAAAAATCTTATGAAACGTTCTATTGAAATAGGACAATGTGAAGGCTAGTTAATATTCCTTAAAATATGCCTAGACCCTATTAAATTTTCACAAAAAGAAAAGACAAGTTAAGATTATTATTTACTAGATTTGCACGTGTACCAGCAATAATAATTATCAATATCAGTTGATAAGATTAATAATTATAACTGTATATTAAGTATTTTTTTGCAAGTAGGTATTTTTTCTTGTACCTGTAAAGAAACTTATCTATATAAATGTTCATTTATGTAATCGTTTTTTTTTTTAATGTCAGGCAACGAGGTTATTGACACTATTATTCTGGCACTATTTCGCTCTCGAGAATATAGGCCATTTGCACACCTTAAAGTGGATACTATTTTTAAATTGCTTGTTTGCTGTCTAGATTTATTTAAGTTTAAAGTAGTTTATTTTTAAAGTTGATTGATAGGCGTTTGCT